GACTGGTGCCAAATGAGCTATACAGAAAGCAAAAAATAAGGTCTGGGAGCTATTAATACCAGGAAACAATATTTTATATGGCCTTTAAATTTTTAGCTTTATCTTTATTAAGATGAATAACCACCAGAGGCTTTGAGCAAAAGAGTGATATAATCTCACATTTAAAAGAAACACTATAGCTGCCTTTGATGATAACAGAGAGTGGAAACAGGAAACTAGTTGAAATACTAATGCAAGTAATCAAGGTCAAAATTGATGGCTGCTGGAGTGGTGGTGGAGCTATGAGAAATAGGTTCTAGATATATTTTGAAGGCAGAGCCATTAATATTTGCTCAATGACTGGATTGTTGGGTATGCAACAGAGTAGGTGAAAATGACTCCAGAATTTTTGACTAATAATTGAAAGTATTAAGTAACTATTAGTCTGCTCGGGCTGCCAGGACAAAATATCATAGACTGGGTAGCTTAAACAACATAAATTTATTTTTTCACGGTTCTGGAGATTACAAATCCAAGAGCAAGATGCTGGCTGATTCAATTCCAGATGAGGGATCTCTCTCTAGCTTGTAGGCAGCTCTTTCCTGCTGTGTCTTCATATAGAATTTCCTCCAATACCTTCTAACGGTCTTATCTCCAAGTACAGTCACATTGAGGGTTACAATTTCAACATATGAATTTGTGGGGGACACGATTCAGTTTATAGTTGTTGCCAACAAAGGAGATTGGAAAAACTGTGAGAGCACTTTTTAGGATGATATTGGGAGTATATCAGAAGTTTTTTTCAGATATGCCATAGATCTACCTATTGACAGCCAATTGTCTCTATTAAGTAACAAGATAGATATAATATTCTGGAATTAAAGGCAGATGCCTGAGCTGGAGATATTAATTTGATAATTATTATCATTTCAATTATATTGATATTTGGATATGTATAACTAAACAAATTCATCAAGGGAATATTAATAGAGAAGGGAGGCGATTCAAAGGCTGAACCATGGAATGCTTCAGATGGAAGAGAAGACATGGAGAGAACAACAAAGATATGTGAGAAAGAAGGTGAGTGAAGTTGAAAAAAGAACAAGGTGGAAACCAAATGAAGAAAACGTTTCATGAAGGAAGGCAGGACCAACTCTGTCAAATGCATGGGTAAGTAAAATGAGGTCTTAAAATGACAGCTTGATTCAACAATACAAAGCCTTGAGCAATTCAAAGAGAACTACTAGAGCAGTTTAGGTAGAGTAGGAGAAGTAGCCTTTTGAAGTAGATTGAAAAGAAAGGGAAGGAGAAACTTGAGACAAGTTTTTGGAGTGGCTTTGTTATAAAAGCAAATAAATCAAACCGTTTCTAGAGGGGGAAGTAAAAGGCAAGAGGAAAAAAGGTTTGTTTTTATATTTTATCTTAAGATAAAAAAGAGCAACATGTCTATATGTTGATAATGAGCCAACAAAAAGGGAGAAATTAATAAACAGGAGAAATAGGTTTCTGAAATGATCACTTTGAATATGCAAGAGGGATCTAGTCTGAAATGGAGGACTTGAAGTTAGGCCTACCTTCAGAGAACTCGTGTATGCTAATTGAAAGGCAGATAAAAAATGTAAGAATTCAGATTATAGGGGAAATGGAAATAGCATAGTAGAGCTTGTGAATGTTATTTTTTTATTTCATCTATTTACTCTTTTATAAAATAAGGAGCAAGATCACCAGCTGAGAGTGAGGATGGGGAAAAGGTGGTAGAAACTTGAAGAGAGAGAAGCTATAATAAGAAGACTGAAGAAGAATGAATTAGAGGTCAGGCACGGTGACTCACACTTGTAATCCCAGCACTTTGGGAGGCCGAGGTGGGAGGATCACCTGAGGTCAGGAGTTTGAGAACAGCCTGGCCAACATGGCAAAACCCAGTCTCTACGAAAAATACAAAAAAATGAGCAGGACATGGTGGCATGTGCCTGTAGTCCCAGCTACTTGGGAGGGTGAGACAAGAGAATCGCTTGAACCCGGGTGGCAGAGGTTGGCAGTGAGCCGAGATCATGCCACTGGACTGCAACCTGGGCAACAGAGCGGGACTCTGTCTCTATTTTAAAACCAAATGGATTAAAGAACTTTAATACAATTACCAATCCGCATTAATAGGTGCCTTGAATTCATGATGAAGTGTAGTTTTAGTTTTCTCTGCGTATAGGAAGTAAGTAAATGAAGAATTAAATTTACTCTGGATAGATGTTTTGCCATGCAAGCACAATAAAGTAAAAACAAAATGAGGGAATTAATAGTATATGCAGGCGTGAGATTATAATGATTGTTCATGAGATGTAAAACAAGTAAGGACTCAGAGGGTGTAAGGAAGAGTGAATAGTTAATAGAATTGATGGGTTGTAGGTCCTTGTGAGTTAAAGAATTATTAAAATCAGGGTACCAGAGAAGGTTGGAAATTGAATTGTTTCTAATATGGATTATTAGCAGTGGCATTTTAAAATATGGGCATTAGAATGTGTGGTTACGAGAGTGGACAATCAGTGTACAGGAGAAAAGAAGGTCAAGGAACTGAGATGACAAAATAATGAATGAAACCGCCTTTCATGTGAACATTGAAATCACTATGAATTGAGAAAAGAATGATATAAAGGATAGTTACAGTGAGCCACAAAGTAAAATCTTTACAGGAAGAAAGAAAATGATTTGAGTATCACTAGATGACTAATTGGACATGTCATGGGAGGTATACAATGATACAAGAGTCCAAGCTGGTGGAAGTTTGGAGACAGACACAAAACAGTCCAAAGCATTAGTAAAGAACAAGGAAGATACCTAACTCACCTCCAGGCTTAAAGGTATAAAACCATCAAAAATAAAAGAGGCTAGACTTAAAATAGTTACAGGTAAATTCATGTCTTCAGGTTGTAAGAGCTAGGTTTTAGGCATTTTAAGTCTCTGAAGACAGAGGAAAGTCTTTAGAAGCTGGTGGAAGGTAAGAAATTAGTATAGAACAGGATTTGCAGAGCACTTTTGGAAATACATTATGAGAGATGCATAGTGACTGGGAGACTGCCTCTTCTTATGGTGACTGAGATAAGCAGAAATAAAGGGCATAATGAGATTAGTCTTGATGGTCTCAAAGCAGATAATGGTGCTGAATGTGGGGCTTGGAAGGAATGGAAGTCTTGAAGTCTTGAATTCACTCTTATATTGTGATTTTAAGGACAAGTAATTGTCAGTCTTACTCCAAGTGTATAAGAATCAATTTTGACCCCAGTGAGTACAGTGAAATGGGAGAGGGAGAATTTACTTGAATCAGAATTCTCAGGGCTTCCTTTGGAGCCCTGTTTATCTTACTCTTGACACCAGGCAATTGATGTTAGCAAGAAGCATGGAATCAGATATTCCCCTTTCTTAACCCCAGTTAGCACTGAAGAGTTCTTGTCTCTGTGCTGTTGTTCTTGCCTTTTACTTACACATAAAAAGTCCTTTCTAACCCAACTCCAGATCTCAAAACTTACCCAAACTTCAAAATTAAGAACATTTCCCAAAAAATGGTGATTTCTACCTCTGTTGAAACCCCCAAATTAAAATGTTTTGATTATGTAACTCATTGGTCAGATTTTGCCTATCTTGCTCCCAAATACATCACTTGGGTTCTTGGAGCTGAACCTTAAATAGGCACTCAATTAATATTCAAATGAATAAATAAATGGCAATGAATATGGCTATCATATACAAATCTTTCCTCCTAGAATAGATTATAAATTCTTTGAGGATAACCATTATATCTTCTGCTTCTTTATTTCCACAAGTGCCTTTCACAAACACTGGATAGATAATTGTTGAATTGATAGGCATTCTTATTCATTAAACATGTGGTACTGGTGAACTTGGAAATTCAATAAAACAAAATAAGCATTCTGAAATCTATGCCTGGGAGCTTATAGGAATCACAGCTAGATGAGGACAACATCCTCTGTTTCCTAATCTGTAGCTCCTCCTCTATATTATTTTAATACATGAAAACGCACTGGTGTTAACCTACCTGAGCATTGCAAGGGACACTTTCCAAAAATAGTGACTCGATCATAAACTGGAAAGCATGTGGGAATATAAATGATCTATTCACCTCATTGAAGGTGTGAATAGGATTAGGACTTCTTGGACGATTAAAAAAAGAATTTCAATATGAAATGTGTTTTTTTAACATACAAAGCCTTGATTTTATTGTGCCAGATTCTATTTGAAAACCACAAGGTGGGAATTTTAGCTATCTTAGATCTTACAAGGATGAATTAGTGCCAGCAAGGTATTCTGCGTCTGAAGCTGGTGGCTTACTTGAAAAGACATGCAAATGTTATCTCTAATTGAATGAGCATTCCACGCTTAAGCATGTATGATTGCACTGGCTTTCCAACAATTACGTTATTTCTTTGAAGAGTAATATTTAATGTCATGGGAATGGTATTTCCAAGCTACTAAAGTGATAACATTATAATTGTTCAACTCATAACACATTGCCTTTGATCTGAAGGTGATTATTATATATATAGATGCTTTATAGGTGCCTGATTGAAAAAATCCAGTGACTGGCTTGCATATAATTTTGGAGATACAGTATTTGTTCCAATGTGTAATAAAAGAAGGTCAACTACAGAAAGGTATTAAGATGAGCCAGAAGATAGGGAAAGATAGGGAAAATTGAAGAAGCCTTAAAAAAAAAATGACAAAATGCTTGACCTCATTTGTTTTTCCAGCTGGTAAGATTCATATATCACAATCATTAATGAATTTTAGGGTTACATTATGTGGAAGAAGTATATGGGTTTTTAAAAAGTTGCTTATACTACGAATTAAATTTTTGGTGTATTGAAATGGGAAGGGATAACAAGCCAGTTAGGTTCAGATTGAGTCTCTACATTGTCTGATAAAAGTACTGTTGCACCATGCCTCACATAGAAATAGCTGAAAATCACTAATACCTTAAACTCAGATTTTTATGGAAGTTTTAGAGTACATACCAATGGATCATCTCAGCGAGTGACTCGATAGGTGTGACATGTTTTTGTTTGTTTCATGTAAACAGACAATTCTCTTCAGAAACTGGAGATAAAAGTTTGTCAGTGTAAATTTACTGAGCAATCAGCGAGGTATCTCTATAAATCATACAGAAAAAAATATAATAAGCCATGTAATAGTCTATTAAATAGCCGTTAATTTTTTCTTCTCATATATTATAAATATATTTTTCAAACACTCAACCAAACGTAATTCTGTCCTTTAGAAAACCACAGCCTAGTAGAGTGAATTCTCATGTAAACTAATAAATGGCCATAGATGTAAAATGCTATTATAGTGAATCCAAATTTTGCAGTGGAAGCAGAGGAAGAAACAAACTTTAAAAGGTAAAATGACACTAGAGCTAGAGCATTAACATTTAGAAGGCTTCATAATATTGAAAATATGAGCCTTCCCCCTTTTAATTTGAAGATAAGCTAATAGGTTCACTCTGTACCTAAGAGCTGCATGCACAAAAGACAACAGACATTTCCTATCCTCTCTTTTGTTAGGGGATTAACTCAGAAGTAATCCCTTATATGTGAAGCCTTTTCTCTCCCCCACTGCAATAAAGGAGGAAGAAAGAGGAAGCCATGTTTCTTTCTGAGATTTAGGCTTTCTCAGCCTGGATTTCATCTTCATGCATTGCTGAACAAGGCTGATTTGGTAAAGAGTTAATGCTAGAAGGCAGCTGAAGGACAGACTCCTTTGCAAGGTAAATACTAGAATAAATCAGAATGTTTGGAGCCATTCTTTTTTCAAACACCTACCCTTTCTTAAAACACTTTTGTATAGGGATCTAATTGGGTAGACTTTGTTAACTTATATCAAAATGGTCTCCTAAAAATGCAACAGATTAGTAATAATTGTGAAGGTGAAAATAAGTATTCTTTTCCTCACTGAAGTGTTCTGTCAAAAATCTATTTCTTAGTTATATTGTTTACTTCTTGATACTCTATAAGCTATAGAAAACAGTCAAAATTCTTCCTACTCTTGCTGATGAGGTAAAATGAAATGGGCCTTAGCAAATTGAGTATTCTGCATACTATGATTTCTAACAATGCACTAGAAATACCTGGATATTGTCTTTATCTTATTAAGTTGATATTTTAGTTAATGTTAACAATAATGAAACATAATCCCAGAATATATAAGGAGCTTAAACAAATCTATGGGAAAAATATCTGATAATCTGAACAAAAAATAGACAAAAGATTTGAATAGACACTTCTCAAAAGACATACAATTGGCAAAAAGGCATATGAAAAGGTGCTCAACATCACTGATCATCAGAGAAATGCAAATCAAAACTACATAAAAATACAAATTATTTCTAGTACTTTTTAAATTGTCATTTATAATAACTCAGTGGATTAATCTAACAGAGAATAATCTTACACCTTACTTTCAGGGAATAAATCACAAGACAAGATGAAGATCGTAGTCCCAACTGTGACCATCTTAAATTTTGTGGTTTACTTCCCGGTAAGTTTCAGTATTTTGGATAATAGTAATTAGATGCAGGGAAAAAATTAATACTTAGATCATCAGCTTACATTTAATGCAAGAAAGAACATTTTGCTAAATAAAACATCTTTTTTTAGTATTCTATTTTGTATTCATACCCTTCTTTTAAAATTAATTATATACACAATGAAGTAAAGATAAGAGAAGTTATAATGTATGGTAGTATAGGATTTGAATGAGGCTTCTCTATGCGTTTTATATTATAAGAGATTCCTTACTAAAAGTTTGCCATGGAACATCTGAATTTATACTCACAGAAGGTACTCAATCCTAACATACATATCAGCTGTTGCTTTTTACATTGATATTGTGTATTTCTAACTTAATTAGTTTAACACTCAATGGATATGGAAGAAAGCAGAGGCTTTCACAATGTTGCTTTATTTGATCAATTTAATGCTGTATATTCATTTCAGACTTTTAGTAAAATATCTGCTGGGGGAACCTCCCAAAAGTGTTGTACCTCTTCCTCTTTAGTTTAATGGGAGTCAGGAAATACACAGTCAGACAAATCAAGATTTGTCTGCCAATCTGTCTTTGTCCTCATCAGACAACTATCCAGCAAGTTCAGTCTCATCCATCCTAAAAACAAACAAACAAAAAATCTGCACCTACAAAAGATTCAGACAGCTACTCAGCATCTACTCTACTCAGCATCTACTGATGGAGTAAGAAGGCTCTCTAGATTCCTTTCAGAGAGAAACCACTCAGACACCCTTCAAGTCGACTTATATAACTTTCTTCCATTTGGAGATGATACACTAAGTAACTCTATAGTTAACCAGATTTCAACTAGTTTTGCTCATGTCAAGGGTACAGTAGGCAACTCAACTCAGGCGGAGGTTTCAAAGAGCAAAGCTTCATCTTCCTCTGATGCTATGCAAGAGAATTCTGCTGCCAGTACCACAATTTCCAACTTGGCACCCAACTCCCATATAACACAGAACAGGATGACTTTTTCTGGGGGAAAGAGCATTGCAAAACCTGTATCCATGACCACCTACCAGTACAAGTCTGATTCCACTGCTATTTCTCACTTTCAGGCAGACTCCAAAGCAACTCAGAGTCTTGAACCCTTCTTCCCATCCACTGGCAGATCTAAACCATTCTTTGCCCCTTATCCTGCTGCATACACCCAAAATGCTAAAAATGAGTTCACTCCCTCAGTAGATGAGAATACCATTGCCATATCAAATACAAACAACCTCCTTGGAACTGGTACCACTACTCATAAAGAAGAGGTAGGACCAGACGATATGTTCTGTTTTTATACCACAGCCCTTATGGCAGGAGGCAATACTGCAAAAATTGATGCCACAGACATTCTACAAGAAGATTATACAGCTCTGCTTGATGTGCCTGATCTGGAGGACAACAACATAATTATCACTGATACTACTTACATGGAAATATATAGCAGAACTGCAAACAATGAGCCTGACCTTCCAAAGAAAGACAATTCTATTGTAATTGAGGCCACAAATATAAAGAATGATGGTAGAACTACAGTTACTGCTCAAGTATCTAGCATTTCCTTTGCAAAAAATAGCAATGACTTTGAACCTATTCCTATTCTGAATAATTATGACAAGTCTGATACCAAATCTGTCACGATTGCCACTGATATTGATAAAGCTATTTCCAATATCAATCCCACTGATACTACAAATTATCCTCTTAATGTATAAGAAAAGCAATAATGTTGTCAGTAATTTCACTGATATTAAAACAATGACAGATGTAGCTAAATATACAATGATGTGCGGTACTTAATGATTTCTAAAACAAACAGCACCACCTCTACAAAGCATTACAGTAACCCTAACCCTGTAGAGTCAATTACTAACACTGACAGTAACTTTAAAATAATTTGGCCTTTAAAGGAAAGTACAATAATAGAAGACAGACACACTGTTCAGATGGAAAACATCACGATACCTAACAATATCAGTATTGCTGAAGCAATTGAATCTAAAGCAAATGACTCAATAAGTATCATTCTAATATACCTGCCAATATATATCTCGAAACTGATAGGGACAATTTTAAATCTGTGAGCACTTACGGAATTGAGAATGTTATTTCCATGGTCAAAGAATTTGCAAATAAGAACCAAGATGATACAGTTATAGAAGTCATCTTTATTCATCCAAACACTTCACCAGCAGAAATTGGAAGAAAAGTTTACTCTCTTAATCCTGATGGAGATTATGCCAAAACAGCAGGAAACAAAATTACTCTCCTTCCTGACAACTTTGATGTGTTCGATCTCCTATTCAAATATAAAATAATGCTCGTTACAATGGACAGCAAAAACTTCATTAACGTTAAAGAGGTGATGATAGAATCTCCTCCACAATAACTGCAAATGACACCCAAACCAAAATGGACTCTGAAAGAACTACTGTACCTAAAACATACAGTTTCCAGAACAGTATCATCCTATGATTTCTGTCACTCACCCTGCAATTGTTGAGTCTGTTCATTTTAGTAAAGACAGTGAAGCTGGCATGACATCAGCCTCAAAGGTCAGTATTATCTCTTCAGATAAATCTACTAACTCTGTGAAGAAAAGAATTAGAGTTTCTACTAATGAAAACAACGCTGGTGGTGTTGCAGGTCCTAATCCTGAAATAGACATTTTTATGAACAAAGGACACACTCTTCCATCAGTAGCTGAATCATTTAAACTAATGCTTAATGCCCCAGATATTGAAGCTCAACCTTCTCTGCTAATTAAAGATGACTCTTTGACTGGTGCCTGGATGAAAATGTTAGATTCTGTAGCTGAAAATTCTTATCTCACTCATGATGCCATTATATACAATAAGGTATCAGTAGATCCTCTGAACATTCCATTTCAGTCTAATTACAGCTGGTTTCGCCTCTCCCAATGATGAACACAGTGCCACTGCCAGTGCAAGTAAGAGGACCATACATATGACTGGCAGCTCTGAACTAATAATTAATAAAGCCATCATGGCAGAAGGAAGATCCACTGTACCTATTGCCTCCCTACCTGCAAAGATGTCTGGTATTCTTACTCCAAGAAACCCATTTATAGGTTTGATAGACAAAGAAATGGTTAATGAAGATGAATCACTCCCTATACAAAAGTAGAATCTGTAATGGAAGAAGATGCTGTTTTTCAAATAAAAAAACACCTTCCACCTGCACATAATTGCAAGTACCTCAAATCAGAAGACAGTGGCTTTGAAACGAGTGGATTTGCGGCTGCTGATATCACAAAGTCTCTATTGCAATTTAGTATTGTACCTACTGCGGAAATAACAATAAGTGACAGAGACCTTACTACTCCTGGGGAAGCAAATGATGTTGTATATGATGTCACTAATCCTACAGGTGACAAAATACACTTTAAGCCAATCACTCCCGAAACAATGGTTAATGGTTTAGGTGAAAGTGCAGCAGTGAAACAGAATGTTAAAGCAGTAGATGGCACTGTGTTCCTTCCACCTAGTGATTCTATCCCCCAAACTTAAAGAATGTATTACCCT